CACCCCCCCCACCCCCACCCACCCCAAGCACAGCCCCAATCCAAACCCCCAGCCTGGAAGAAGGCAGTGCAGTCCCCAGTCCTCAGCCTGCAGCAGGCAGCCCATCCTTGCCCTGCACACAAATCTGGGGAGCACATGGCCCCATGCCTTCCCCAGGGGTGCACTCAGTGGTGGGGAGCCATAACCCCTCCTCATGCCCAAGCACCCACCAGATGAGCCACCTGTGGCTCAGTACCGCTCCTGGCAGGGTTGCATTCACTGCCCTGGCTGGGCAGCACCTGCTTCTGCCCCACTCCTGCCCTCACCATGGGGGCCTCTATCTGCACCTCTTCTCTCCCCCCTGCCCCTTCCATCCCACAGACTTACTGGCAGGGAGCTGCTCTCCAAGCTGCCGGGCTTCATATCAGCTATCAGATTGGTATCAGCCAATATGGCTGGTTAATAATTAGCCACCAGTATCAGCCAAAAAAATCATTTAATCTGTGTACCCCTAGTTGCAGGGTGTTTTTAGTATTGCATCCTTTGTATAAGGCTTCAAAGTGGTGGTTTGGGGAAATCCTTGAATTGATGGTTGCCTAAGAATGCAAGGGACTGGATTTGATGGCCAGGAGGCCCTTTCTTCTTGTCTTCTTATATAAATGCTGAAGCTACTGGGCCCACAGCATTTGCAACTTTTCCCATTCCTGATGGCCCCAGAACTTTCACCTCCTGCCCAGAGGTTTAGTAGACCTGGCAGCTGGTGCCCCTGACACCTGCAAGTACTGCATGGGGTTCAGTTACCATAGTCCTAAGCAGCCATATTCACTACAGTCTTTCTGAGCAGTCCCCTCACACCTGATGACTGGGGTAGCTCTGTAGAAAGGGCAGAGCCAAAAAAGAGTCATTCAAGGCTGGCATGCTATTTTATTCCAACTCAATCTATGCCAGGGGTCATCTGGAGGCCATTTATGTGCCCTTTATGTGTATGTCAATGAGGGCCTCTGTCCCAGTTGTGTGCAGTCACCACCACCCTCGTCTCTAAAGGACTCCCCTTGCTGACACCTCAGCAGAAACCCAAGTCTGAATGAATCATGGAAAATAGACTCTCCTCTTCCTGCTCAGGGGTGAGGCGGACTCTACGGCTGTTCAGCTTACGCCTCACCTCCATATCCATCATGCCTCTAAAGCCACGTGAATAAGTCAGGATGTATCAGGGACCATTTCAGGGTAGAATGAAGTTGCTTTTCTACTTGCCTGCAAAGGACAAACTACCTGGCATGGTGTCAACTGACCAAGTGGACAACCCAGGGCCAGAGATACAAAGGTCAAAAAGCTCTGGACTGGGCTGCCATGAAGTCTCCATCAAGGACCCAGCTCACAGTGTCCGTCTTTGGCATGTAATGGCAGAGAAGCAACCAGGTCTGTCCTCCCACCTCCTGGCCCTTTGTGAAAGACACTGCACCAGAAGGAAGGGACATGGCAAGTCACAGTACAATGCAGCACTGCATGTGATGACATCAGTCTACTACGCTCTACCCCAGGGGCGGGGAAAATGCAGCCTGGGGGCCGGATGTGGCCTGCCAGGCCATTCTATCTGGGCTTCAGGGCCTCTAAAAAATTTAGAAAATTAATATTTATCTGCCCCTGGCTGCCTATCATGCAGCCCTTGATGGCTTGCCAAAAGTCAGTAAGTGGCCCTCCGCCCAAAATAACTGCCCACCCCTGCTGAACCCTGATGTCCAAAGTCAGCGCTACCTTCTCCAGCACATTTCTCCCTAGCCCGACTGCCCCTGCACCAATGACATAGGATGTTCCCCGTCCTGGAACGCAGACTTCTAGGGATCTGTCTACCCCAGAGTTCCTTGGCTTGCTGGAGAAGGCAACTGGCCCCTTACCTCAGCGTGGGTGTATGCAGCTGCAGCGTCCCTCTGCAGTGAGCTCCCAATATCTGGGAGGCTGTTGGAGAGGATGTCAGAACAGTTTTCCTTGTGCCGCTTGTTCCGCTCACTCAGAACTTCATCTACGTTCCCTCTGACCAGGTTGCTTTCTTGAGTGAAGTTTTTGGATACTTCCTAAAGAAAAAAAGTAACAGAGGGAGATGTCATTTCTCAGCAAATGATACTTTCAGACTACAGTTCTAGGCCTTAGAAAGCACACCAAGACAAAATGTGCTGCATGTGTTACTTATTACAGTACGGAAGTGCATGCCCAGGCTGTTAGAATTGCCTTCAATGGGCCGGTTGTCCTCAGACCTTTGTGGATTGCCAGTGCTTAGTTACAAGATGGTCTTTATCACAAGGTTCTCCTTAACTCGCAGGTATTTACTTAGAGCAAACCAAATTACAAACAACTCCAGCTACTTGCATCTCTCTGCTCTTCCGCAACAGGCCACTCCCTTTTCATTGAACTTTTAACACAGCACAGAGACATCTAGTGGTCAAAGAGTACAACGACCGGTGTCTTCCATTCCAGGTGGGCCTCTCCAGGGTCCTGCACTGCTGGCAAGGTGGGTGATGATCCACATTCGATAGCGAGAGAGCCTGACTTTGGTTTAGGGGGAAGTGCACTGGGATGGGAACAAGGATCCCCTGAGTTCTACACTCTGTCCTTCCCTGTGCATATCGCTGCATCCTTCAGATCTCTGTTGCTGAGCATGGCTTCCTCTTCTAAGATGGAAGCAGCAAGTCACATTCCACTTCCCCTATAACCTCATTGTACAAACAGATAATTGACTGCAATGCTGCACGAGGTCATGACAGGGAGTAGAACCAAGGTTTCTACTAGGACAGATGCAAGTCTTAGCCACATACCTTCACAGAAGGAACACGCCAGACCTATTTAGACTTACTCTTCTGTCTTTGATGGCAGATTTAGCTGCTCATTAAGCTTCCAGCCCATTACAAGGATACCAGAAACCTGGATTTCTAATGCTCACATGCAGGCTATCAAATAGTTCATAGAATCATAGAGAAGCAGGGCTGGAAGGGACCCTCCAGAGGTTATTTATTTAGCCCAATCCCCTGCCTGAGGCAGGATCATCCCAATTCAAACCATCCTATACAAATCCATAATCTAAATTCTTCATAAAACTACTGCCAAACCTGACACAAGACGTAACACCCTTACCTGCTACAGGTAAAGCAGGGGGACCACAGCAGGCAACGTCCTACAGTTCACTCACAAAGTGTTGTGTCCCCTTCAGGTGGATGAACCACAAATGGGATAGCACTCCATTAGTTTGAGTGACACAAGTTTGATGGTCCCAAGCCTAAAACCCTCCTACTGACCCATGGGACAGACTTAATGGTTTCTCAGTTGCCACTTACAGCAATAATTTACCATATTTTCTCATCTACAAAAATGTGTATTTTCTAAAAACCATCTGTCTTTCCCAAAAGCCAGCTGCTGTAAAATGGGAGTGTGCATTATGCATAAGGAAATATGGTAACAGCAGTTTCTGACTGGGCAAAAGTGAACGTAAAGTCTGCACACATCCATGAGGAACAGAACAGTGAAGAGGGCCTGTTCCCCAGCTGTACCCACTTAGTTATTTGCTACCTAGAAAGATATTTCATTTCCCTTCATTCTGCCTTTTAAAAGCGAGGTGTGGATCTTACTGCGAAGCGTGCTGTATGACAGAAGATACGATACGTGGCTGTTTTCATCACCCTTGCCTTTTACAGTCTGGGGATACAATCCAGTATTTCCAACACAGATCCTTACTCAGGCACCATGGTCATTAAAATCCAATGGAGTTTTACCCTGCAAATCCTGACTGATGTGTTGTCCTGTGTGTCCTGATAATGACAATTCCCTGGCACTTCGTATGCCCTCAAGCGTCTTTGTAAAATCAATGCTTTCTTAAGGCACTGACTTCAGTTTGGTTCTGCAACATCTCAGGCCAAGCAGACAAACAGCTTTACTCCTGACAATTACAGGCTGTTCCTCTGCCTCTGTGAAGTCCCTTGCAGGCAACAGTGTTGCTGATCCTCCTGGGAGTTGCTCCAAACTGCTAAAAGCAATGAATAAACACCAAGACTATAATAGCTCTGCTGATGAGATGAAGCAATCAGCTTGCTCAATGAACACCACCTCCTGAACTCGCAGGCTGAGGAGGACCTTGCCTATGCCACGGACCCTTCCAAAGAACTGAGCTGCCTCATCAAGTGATTTTCTCAGTTGGGATTAGCACAAACCAAGACACCACCCCCTCCACAGAGCCAGTGACTTATGGGAGATAGCTGCTTTATTACTATACAGGTTTTTTGGAATTCATGGCTGTTAAGGGCAAGAGAGATCATCCTGCTCCTCCTATCTGAACTCCTGCAGGACACAAGCCAGAGAGTCCCACCCAGGGGTGCTTGCATCCAGCACAAAATGTAGTGATTTACCTAGACAGCAGCCTAACCCTGAGCTAGAAGGGACATCCAATCTCAACATTACAGCCTCCACGTGACAAAGGATCCAGCGTGCAGTAACCGGTTCCAACAATTAACTATCCTCACTATTAAAAATCCAGGCCTAGCCTCCAGGTATTGCTGACTTCAGCTTTTAGCTCTTGCTTTGCCTTTGTCTGAGAGATTAAAGAGCCATCTGCTCTCAGGCATCTCTTCCATGAAGACGGTACTTCTCGAAGTCTCCACAGTACTTCAGCCCTTTTAAACTGGCTTTTAAACTCATTGGAGCAGAAGGCAGATTTCCCAAGCCTTTTATTCATTCTTATACCTCTTCCCTGAAGCTATATTCATTCTTGTAGCTCTTCTTATACCTCTTCACATTTTTCAAAATCCCCTTTTTAAGCATGCATTCCAGCAACCAACAAGAAATGCCGAGGTAAAGACAACCCTCCCACCCCTCACTCTCAGGAGAATACCCATCTTTTTCTCTGCAGCATCACCCTGGAGCCCATGTTCAGATGGCTATTTATGTACTAAAATTAACAATGTAGTGACAGGGGCCTGTCCAGATGCTGTAACCTAAGGAATCTCTAAAGTAGCTCAGTTGCACCTTTCCTCCCCCCACCCCTCTGGAAGCTCTTCCCCCTCATCATTTCCTCCACCTCACGTTTTAAAGAAGCCAGTAACAGAGGGCGAACCTGGCAAGCACCTTAAATAGCCTCTTTTGCACCAAAGTAAGGGGAAGTCCAGAAGTATAGGGCTCCATGAGCTGGTGGTGTCCTTTTCCAGCTGGTCTCAGTGGTCAAAGCCATACTTCTTTTAAGGTCCTTTATTCAAAGCCCTCTTTCAACACCTGGGAGTTCACCTGCCTGCTATCCTCAGGGAAGGAAATTAAACAAGATACATTGCCTTTCTCCCTTTAGGCTATCAAGGCTTCCCAGCTTCCACAAGCTCCTTCTGCTCCCTGCTCTCCTTCAGCTAGACCTTTTTCATGTTCCCAGCCAGCTAGGGATCTGCCCAGGGGCCTGATCCCTTTGCCGGCACCTCAGCAAGCACAGCTAGCTGCACCTTCCAGATTTGTCACACCCTCCCAGAAAGCTCTCGGCCAGCAGCCCCTCTCAGCTTTATTAAGGACCTCTGCTGAGCCAAGCTGTAGCCACAACACATGAAGAGAGAGGCAGCCTTCTTCTAAACAGCCCTTTTGAGCACAGCAAAGCACTAGGAGACCTTGTAGAGTTGCTTTCCTTTCCTGATCCCCCAACCCTGTTCAAATGCACCTCTTTCCAAGATACAGGGCCCCATTCCACAATTGTGGCCTGAAAGTCTTGTTTCTAGACACATGAGCTTGCAGTTGGCTGTATCAACTCACAAGCTTTTTGACTGCACCCAGATCACCAAGCAGGGGTGGATCCCGGATTTCATAAAGATTGGGTGGGGGGCGCTTCAGGAGCAGCGCACTGCAGGGGTGACTGCATCTCCTGCTCCCTGCCTCATCCACCCCTACCAGCGTGGGAAGACCATGCCATGGGAGCCCCTGGGGACTTTCAAAGTCCTTAAAGAAGATGAAAATCACCCCTCTTTCCCCTTCGTGCTCAGAGGCACATCCCTTCCCCTCTTCTCCCAGCTCCCCACCCCTTCCCTGCCTGCTGCTGCTTTCTCCACTGTTGGGGGAGAGAAAGCTCCAGAGCCAGTCTGCTGAGTGGGGGCTAGACTCATCTGGAGAGGGGACAGCAGCAACAGGGAGGCTAGAGAGTAGTTCCCTCTAACCTACCCCATCCTGAAGCAGGCACAGGGAAGGGAACCCCCCTTGCCCATCCCTGTTGCCATTGTCCATGTTCCCAGCTAAGCCCAGCCCCTGGTGGTGCACAGGAACAGCTCTGGTGCTTCCCCACCTCCAGCAACAGAGGGGAAAGGCAGGCAGGAGAGCGGAGAGGAAAGGGGCAGGTAGGGGGTGTACTTTTGTCCAGGAAGGGGAAGGGAGAGGGATTCTCACCTGCTTTAGGGACTTTAAAAAGTCGTTGGAGGCTTCTGTGGTGCAATGCAATAATCCAAAAGAGGGGGATGCAGCCACACCACTGCAACCCTTCTGGATCCACCCCTGCCACTATGCAACCCAGTGACTGGTCTATCAAGCAAGCCAGCAACCTGCCTGCTTACTTTCTGTTTTACAGGCAGTCATGTTACACTTGCTGCCTTACAAAGTGACAGTTTGATAATCAGGATGGTGCCTGCTCCTAAGTCAAAGCTAAAGTGTACTGTCTATCTGTACCTTTTCCTTTTTCAGCTAACTCTGTGATCTTCTCAAAGCCCGTTAATGGGTTTGACAAGATCTGTTCTCCATGAAACCACGTTAACAGGCCTGCATCACATTCCCAGCTTTTACCACATGGCTGCGAGAGACCTTGACCAGCCATTCTGTTGCTGTGCCCAGAAAAGATGTCAAAGCTAATGGGCACTATCAACCAGTATGAGGGGGTTAACCAAAAGGGATTGTGTCTGCCCTTAGAGACAACATTCATCTGACATGCACTGAAATGAAAATGGTATAAAGTTGATCCCCACATGGTAGATGGGGTGAAACCAGGTTGTGGCTGTGCAGTGTGGCATCACACAGCTGCCACATGTTCTGGGGAAAGACCTGGAGGAAGGTGGAGTTTGAACCGTCAGTATGGGAA